AAACAGCTAATCCCTTCTGTTCTTCTCCCCATCCTGAGAAGATTATGTCTCTTGTTTTCCAAATTAAATACTAGCATTCTGTTTTGGAAAGAAAAGTCAAGCTGAGAATCAAAGGGCATACATGGGATTCTTTCCCAGTTATTTCGGCCTCTGATCATTTAGTACCTAGGGCAGGTGAGGTGATCCAATGAGCAGAGGAGTCCAAACGAAAGACCTAACGTCTCTTAATACCTTAGTAGATGGGTGTATTTGTATTAGTTTGCGAAACATGAAGGTTTTTCTTTCATGGGGGTAGGCCAGAAAGATATTAGAAAGGTAAATTAGGTTGATGGGCGGAAGGAATGGCGGGTAGCAGACTAACTACTTAGAGTGAAGAGCATTATGATGTCCGCAAGGCTTCCTTATTTATAATAATGGCCCTGACTGTTGGGGGAGGGACTGCTAGTGACCCCTGAAGAAAACTGACTGTGCTCCTGCAGGTTGTCGCAAAACCATGCATGTACAGCCAGCACTAAGTGGACTCTGCGTTTAAAAAAAAAAAAAAAGTCACATGAAATTCAGGAGGAATAGTGGCAGAGGGGATAGGTGATAAATTGGAGAGAAAAGAGGGGAGGCACATATGATCAAAATGCACTATATGCATATAGGAAATTCTCAAAGAATTTTTGAAGTTTGCCTCCCAAAACAACAGAAACAACCCAAACGTCCAACTGTAGAATTAATGAAGAAATTATAGTATTTCATTCAATGAAATGAAATGAAAATAAATGATGTGAAACCACACACAACAACCAAAAGACATCGTGCAGCAACGTGGGATGACAGGAGTCAGACACACACACCCCTGCAATGCTTGTGGTATGACTCTATTGTATAAAAGTTGCTGGGAACACTGAGACAATGGGGATGTCCTATCAGGAACTCACCAAGGCCAGCTGGCCTGGGTCTGAAAAAGCCTGGGTTAAAACCGGTCTCGCTGAACATAGCAGACAATGAGGACTACTGAGACCCCAAGAACAATGGCAATGGTTTTTTCTTTTTTTTTTGGCAATGGGTTTTTGATCCTACTGCACGTATTGGCTTTGTGGGAGCAGTTTGGATGCTCACCTTACTAGACCTGGATGGAGGTGGGTGGTCCTTGGACTTCCCACAGGGCAGGGAACCCTGATTGCTCTTTGGCTGACGAGGGAGGGGGACTTAATTGGGGGAGGGGGAGGGAAAGGGGAGGCAGTGGTGGGGAAGAGACAGAATCTTTAATTAATTGATAAATAAATAAATTTAAAAAAAAGTTGGTGGGAACAATTATAATAATCAGGAAAGTCCTGCTGGGGTAGGTAGAGAGTAGGAGGAGCCACCAGCTCTATTTCCAGGCTACTTTCTGTGTTCTTTTGCAACTCAGATGGTAGCACAGATCTGTTCACTTGGTGATAGTGTACTGCAGAATATTTGAGGTTGACTCCTTAAAGTAAGTCTTGAATTGGCTTGTCCATCAAGAATTGGGTTTATAAAAGCAAAGAAGATCCTCACAGTCTCTACCTAGCCTGTTGGGTTCATTTCTCTGGTTAAGGAAGCTGAGACCACAGGGACAGAAAAGCAGGATAGAGCAGAAACTGTAGCAATCTCCTAATACCCAACACCATGGGAGAGCTGAGGCTTTGGACTTGTGATTGATTATCTCAAAGAGTAGGAGGACCAGTGCACCCAGAGGAAGTCTAAGGAGAAAAGATGAGTGGCAACATTAGGCGGTGATCTCGTGAGAGTTCAGATCTGGCCTTTTAACACTCATGGTCATCCTGCCTCCTCTCCTGTGGTATGCCTTCCATGATGTGGGTGGGAGCACTAACCAAGACCATGGGACCCTGACTGGTTTTCCATCTAGGGAGTCATTCTAGTTTCCCAAAAGAATGAACTGCATAGATTACAAACCATTAAGTTGCAACCTCAGCTGTTAGCCTCTGAGGAAGAGGGTTGGCTTGCTAGAAAACAGTAATAAAGAGGGGCTTTTGGAAAGAGTAGGTCTAAATAAGATCATAGTTGAGACAAAAGCAGCCCTAGGGAGAAGAGGGTTAAGGAGTCCCCTTGTCATTTGTGCCACAGCAGGATGGAGCACAGGGAGAGTCTGAACAATGTGATAAAAAAAAAAAGGGCCTGGAGATGGCAGAGTCTGAGGAATCAGCAGAAGCCAAATCAGACAGTCATGGACAAAGCAGATGGAAGTGTGGAACTCAGCATAAACCTGCTCATAGTTGGAGACTTTTCACTTCTCCACCAGAGTCACGTTTAGAGAGTTGGTGCTGTGTGGATCCTCAGACGACTATCCTTGGGCTGAGTACGCAAGGCTGACTTTTTGCTAACTAGATTCCAAATATTTGGATCCAAATATAAAGTTGAGGCCTCAGTATCCCAGCCCCAAATGCCGTGGTTAATAACGAAGGTCATGTCTGCTTTTGGCCAGGCTCTTCTTGCAGTGGAGAACTGATTCAGAGAGATAAGACCAAAACTCTCCCTAGGCTAGGGTCTGCTCACCACAAAGACTGGTATGTGGATCAGCAGGAGGCATGCTCTATGATAGGACAAAAGTACTGCATACCATTGACCAGGGTTAACATTTAGCATCGCCCCACTTAGGGTGAACATTTGCCATTCTATTTCCCTCTGAAAGTTCGCTTGTCACACCTCGGCTACTTTGCCAGAGAGTGTAAGACGGAGAATGAGTTGGGAAGTCATTGTTCAAAACACGTTTAGGAACATGTCTAATTCCTTGGCACAGGCGACTTAGGGCACTGGAAAATGCATGGGTGTGACCAGATTCCAGCATGTCTCAGGAAATCATAAGAGAAAGTTGTTTTACATGTGCCTAGAGGGGTTTCTGATAGCATTTTTAAAAGGAGGAACTTAAATTAGAAGTTTCTTGGATCCTGCACCAGCAGAAGAGGAGATACAAACAAATAACTAAATCCACCCCCCAACCCCCCCCACCCCACCCCACCCCACACCCCCCCGCCTCTGCTTACCCTGATTCCCGGCCTAGTGTTTCATTTGCAAAACAGGCGGGAAGCCCTGCCTGGCAGAGCTCTCTGGCCTCACCCACCGATGGGTGATTTAAAGCATGGTGATCTCAGGTGTTGTTTATGTGATGCCCATAGGAGTAAGGCAGTCTCCATAAAGGGATATTATAGAACGTCTTCAGCCAGGGAGAAGAATACCCACTTCCAAGCCAGGCTGAGTGTCTAAGAGGGCCAGGATGAGGATGCACAGGGAGCTGAGACAGATCAATACTGGAGACCATTAACCAGAAGGAGAGCGGCCGCCGAGATAGCCTTGTGTCTGCTCTGGCTCTCCGGCTCCAGCTCACCCAGATCTTGGCCCACTTCTCTCCACAGATCAATTGTGCCTGCCTCATGCATCTGTCCTGTAGAAAGGGACAATTTTGCCACTTATCACAGATAGCCCCCAAATCATGATTCTCAGATGCTCTGGGATTTGCCAGATTGCTCTCCTGTTAGCACGTGATTGACCACCTATTAAGCTGTTTCTCTATATTCATTTTCCATATCTGTTAAGATGGGGTGGGAGGTGGTAAACAGCATCTACTTATGGGGCCACAGAAAGGACAAAATGAAATTCAAGTGATGACTCAGCCCAGCGCCTGGACTATAAGGGCATCATTTAAAATCCATTAGAAGCCTTTGACCACTTGGTTTAAAGAAACGATCCCCAAGAAATTAAAAGAAGCAGGTTGGATTGAAAATGTGCTACTTAGGGAGGGTAAGGGATCCAGGCAAAGCAAGCAAAAGGTCTCCTGCACTTTGATGGGCCCGTTAATGGGTCAGCAAAGCTCTGAACCACAGTCTTCAATGTAAGGGCACAACTTGTTGGTGCCGGCACACCCCAACCTTCCAGTGTCGCTAAAATGTCTATTTCTGAGTGATGCCACAAGCAGTAGTGGCAGGTGTAAAAACACCTCCAAAAATTGCCCATTGAGTAATACGTGTTTGACAGATAGAGGGCTTTCCAGACCAGGAGGAATAGACAAATTCTGCTCCCTTAGGGACCCATCAAGCAATTCTTCACATGGCCTAACGCGGGCAACTTTGCCTCCTAGATATTCTTCCCTTGATTTAAAAATAAAATTTAAAGGGAGATTAAAACCATGTGTTTCTGGAAATTTACACGTAGCTCATCAAATCTATTGTTTTCTGAGCGATGTTTGAAGTCTAATAAGACTAATGAGCTTTTTTTTAAAAAAAAAAAAGTTCATAAGAATGTTTTAAGGAAGGAACATAAGAGGCTTTGAAAACTGTTCCAAGAGTAAAAATAATAATATTAATAATAAATTGCTCAAAACTCTCAAGCCCCGCAGGTTCAAAATTGACTTATTACTCTGAACCCAAGAGATTTGAATTATTACTGAAGTTCATTGTCTCTTATGGGGCTTTTCCGAAGGGAGAAAGAAGCCACATGGAGGGTCACTAAAATTCATTATGAGGTTTGCTTCACAGCCATAGCCATATCCCTGGAGACTTCCAGAACCCTCTCAGCCTGACCTTAGACAGGAACCTCCACCCGGACCCTCCCACTCCCAGTCTGGCAGTATCTCAGAATACTGGAGCCAGAACCCCTCCTTGAATGGCTCTCTTGCAGGGCACACAATCTATGTTACATAAATGGGTGATGTGCTATTAGCTACCTGAACGATGGCGTGGAAACAAAACAACTTCGGTGAGTGCAGAAAACAAAACCAAAACAAATCCAAAGCCCACAGTTTTGATTTCCTGTGCATTGTTGTCTGACGCCCTCTTGTGGTGAAATCCTTGCCAGCATGTGGGAATCCGTGCTTCTTAACCAAGCCATCCCATGCAACATTTTCCTACGCTCTCTTCCCGCTGTTTTTGTCGGTCACATCAAGCAAGGAACAAGAATCGGTTGCCAGCACCCAGAGTAAAGTATGCCTGACGGGCTGTAATTTAACAAATGCTACCCGGTGTTTTCTCTTCCAGGGAGCCTCTGATACATTGCCTGTAGCAAGAAACCAGGGGCCAACATGCAGGAAAACATGACATCTGTCCTTGCTTTCATCCTACTTCTTCTCAACATCAGCCTTCTGAATGGTAAGAGACTCAGTTCTCACTCTTCTTGCCTGGAGTGCTTAGGAGTGGAGGGGGGCGGGGGGGGGTAGTGAAGAAGCTGTCTCGATCTGTTGCAGTGCAGTTATGAGAAATGAAAATGTTCGTGTCATTTGCTGCTACTAAATTGTTTGCCACATTTCTGCGTTAAAATTAATGCAAAATCTCATCGGTGTGCTTCCCTCTCTCCCATTTCCCGTTTGAGAGTGGACTGAAAGGGCGCGGGGGATGATGGGAACTGAGTTCCCATCCAGGGCATAGTTACTAGCTGTGTGATTCGAACCACTTGTCTGCCTCTCTGTTTTTGATTTCTCCGAGGGAGGATAGGGATCTCTCACAAGCTTCAGATGAAACATGTTTTGAAAAGACCTTTGAAAAACTATAAGAGCATGCAAGCGATTGCGTGACAAGGTGGCAAACAGGCATAACCTATGTGTGCTAATAAGAGAAACAAAAGCCACAGCTAACAGGAAGGGGTGTGATTGTCTGCACAGGTTTTCACATCTACTTCTATCTACTTCTGGGGGGGGGGGTGTGCTTCTGAATGCACCTGTGTACACACCGGCTGCGTATAGTACCTCATCACAAATTCTTCTCTATCTATGTATGTATGTGTGTGTGGACGGCAATGAGGAACCTCTGTGTATTTACATATATGTTTATTGTTGGGTCGTGCACACCAGTGTATGTTCCCGTCATTGTGCCCTTGCATGCATTTATTTCTCTCTGGATGTATTTCCTATGGGTGCAGTGCATTATGTATATGCTTACTTCTGATGTGGAGTTTACGCAAGCAAGTCTCTGCGTTTCTTGGACTTTGTATAATATCCCTTGTGTCTGTTCACTGAGACAATCCATGAAGTTTGTTTCCTCAAGGGGCATGAAGATAACATTTGAGTGGTTGTAATTTCACAACCTTGCCTTTTTCCCTCGCGGTTCCTAAAAGTGTTCTTAATGGCAAGTAAAAATGTAGAAGAGATAAGCTCAGAGGGAGGGGAGAGAGGGGGAGAAAGAGAAAGAGGGGAAGAGAAGCAAGAATCTTGCTAACCCATAAAAGAAACTCTTGAGTACTCAAATAATCAGCAGCGGCCCTGACCAGCTTCAAGTAGACCCATTGTTGAGCCATATTGAAAACTGGCAGCAGTAGGGGTTGGTTCTTTTTGCTTGTTTGCTTAGCGTTTGGGGTCTGATTGGCTTGTTTTTTAATTCAAGACAGGAGTTCTCTGTATAGCCCTGGCTATCCTAGAGCTCTCTTTGTAGAGCAGGCTGGCCTCAAACTCAGAAATCCACCTGCTTCTGATTCTGAGTACTGGGATTAATGACAGGCACCACCATGCCCTGATAGTTTGGAAGCTTTGTTAAATGAATATTTCTCTCTACATTACATGTTTCTCCTCACGCACGACAGAAACAAACAAGAAAAAGAAAGCTTGTGTTTTTGCAATGATTCCCAACATCACTAGGCAGTCCCCCAAACTGATAGACACACAAAGCTCACACAGATTCTTTTCAGCAATTCTGTGAGCTACTGTGACACTCTGTCACCACTGACGGGCCAGCCTTCTTTCCATGACCCCATCCAGTTCACCACGCTAGAACACCCATTAAATTCCCCTCCCTGGACAGATTGTATACAGACTCACACATGATCCCTTTGCCATGATCTTCACGACCTGCTCTCCTGAACTAAATAACGTTCCATCCTGAGGGCCTATCTGAAAGATTGAATAAATGTGGAAAAGATATAAAAGACCCCTGAGCTACTAACGCCAACCTCTGAAAAAAAATCTTTCTACTCCTGAATTTAGCATTAAATCTTCATGTAGGGCAAAAATTAGGAAAAGTAGATATAATGTGAGTTATGGTTGGTCTCCCAAACCAACAGCATCATGGCAAAATCCCAAGGTTATTCTGTTCCTCTTTCAACATAACAGCCAAGCAAGACAGTTGGAGACCAGCTTGCCAAGAGCTTTGGAGATTAAGCTGGTGAAAATTCTCATCCCCTCGGCCACATCACCTCCTGCAGATCTTCCCACTTCTGGCGCTGACAGTGGTGATGTGCCTTATCTAACCATGGTCGCTCCCCACTTAGAGGGGGACCACCTGCTCTACTACCCCTTAGCCTACTACCCCTTAGCCTACCACCCGATTCCTAAAGATCTACAGAACCGCAAGGAAGTTTGAGGTCACCTACTCATAGAAAGAACCAAAATGGGGGATTCCAAGAAAGAGGCGGTGGGGCGTAAATTCAAAAGGAGACTAAAAATCAAGATTCAGAAAATAAGAATAGGAAGAATTAGGAGATAGGGAAGGTGGACCATTAGTCTGTCGAGTGATCAGCTACAGGTATTACACACACGCACACACGCACGCACGCATGCACATACATACATGCACATACATGCCCAGATACACATGCACACACACAGACATACGCACACGCACGTGCACACACATAACACACATACAGCTCAGGAACCATTTGGGGGAAGGGGATGGAAAGACTGTGAATACCAGAAGTCAAGGAAGACTGAAGTGAAACAGTGACTTCTGGACCTGGAAGGACCACTATACTCATAACTTCACAGCAGCTAAGGCTGTGTGCAGATGGCACAAGATCAAGCCAGTCAGCAATCCAACACGGAGAAGGGAAGGGCTCCTGAGTCCCCATCCCTAATTGAAGCACTACTGACAGCTGACAGCTTCTGAGGGATCCGAAGGGTCAATTTCCCTTAAGTGTATACCACTTGGTATGGCAACAAGACTCCAGTGGGTAGCCATACATTTATACGTTTATAAAAAGTACAGATTGGGCCGGGCAGTAGTGGTGCACACCTTTAATCCCAGCACTCGGGAGGCAGAGGCAGGCAGATCTCTGTGAGTTCGAGACCAGCCTGGTCTACAAGAGCTAGTTCCAGGACAGGCTCCAAAACCACAGAGAAACCCTGTCTCGAAAAACAAAAAAAAAAAAAAAATAGTACAGATCGGTCTCTCTCTCTCTCTCTCTCTCTCTCTCTCTCTCTCTCTCTCTCTCTGTGTGTGTGTGTGTGTGTGTGTGTGTGTGTGTGTGTGTGTAGTGTGTTAGGGAAAGAGAGAGAGTGAGAGCTTGTAGGGATAAGGGTTAGCGGTAGAGCTAGAGTTAGGGAGAGAAGGGGAAAGAATGAATATATTCAAGATACCTTGTATGCATATATAAAAGTCTCAAAGAATATATAATAATACATATGTATATTATAAGCTAGATCACTAGGCCAAGGCTATGCACAATCAAGGTAGGGGAGAAAGCACAGAAGGAGAAGACAAAGGGGAGAGGAAGTAGCCTAGAATGCCCAGACAAAGGCCATAAGTAATGCAGAAGAAGAGGGAGGATGCCGGAAAAGGGCAGATTCCTGAGCAGTGCACTGACTGTGTGCACACAGGTCACTGTCTGGGAAAGAATGCTTCGGATGGCTATCCTATTGCTACACAGGCCCCGTGAGAAGGGCTAGCTCCATAGTCTCCGTATGCACCCACCTCTCTCCCCTCAGACTCACTCTGCAGTGAAATGTTTGTCACAGCTGGCCACTGATGCAGTGGCCTTTCTGAACAATGCACCAAGACCTCCTCACATCCAGGGTGCCAATAATCTGTCTCTGTTACTAGCAGCTCAGTTAAGCTGTTGAATGGACCGCAGTATTAACTCGAATGGCTTGTGGCTGGTTTTGTTTTAGGACAGTCACCACCTGGAAAACCTGAGATCCACAAATGCCGGTCTCCCGACAAGGAAACATTCACCTGCTGGTGGAATCCCGGGACAGATGGAGGACTTCCTACCAACTACTCGCTGACTTACAGCAAAGAAGGGTAAAACAATCTCTTCCACCTCATGAAACCAGAGTGCTCACGCTCCGGGCCCTAGTTACATTAGTTCTTATTATAAATACCATGCTTTCCTAGATTTATACCAATAAGCTTCATACCACCAGGAAAGGAATCTAATGTCTCTAGCCCATCGTGTTCTCTAAAAGTTTTTTTTTCAAACTCAGTCTTCAAATGCTCATTGACAGTAGCATTATAATATTAGCCATGTTTCCAAATGTCTGTCCCAAACTTAGAATACAGACCAAGTCATCATTTCCTATAGATTGGCTAATCTCAGCTGCTCATCCATAAACCGCATGATATTGTAGGTTTTTTGTTTGTTTGTGTTTTGGGATTTTTTTTTTAGTTAATACACTCCTTTTACAACATAATAGAATTATATAAGCTGTGTGATCTTTGGCAGCCTCGGTACATTAGGTTTTCAAATGTGTTTCATGCCCAAGAGAATAAACAACCTTTAAGGAAAAGAACTTGAGGTTGTTTGTTTATTTAAGTAAGTTGCTGATCTAAAAGCTATAAATCATGATAACACACATCTGTAATCCCAGCATTATGGACGCTGATGCAGAAAGATGACAAGTTCAAAGTCAGCCTGAGCTGTACATAGAAAACCCCTGTTTCAAACACAGCAAAACAATAAAATTCAAGGTCTCCTGAAAGGCATAGTTAAATTTAGCATTGCCAGGAGGGCAAAATAAGATCATCTCTAGATGATAATTCTGATGAACTCATAATGAGACTCTCCTAGAAACCTTAAATGAGCTACAGAAATGTTAGTTTAGCAAAAAGTACATTTCTGTATCTTGGACCTAAAAATAAAATATTATTGACAGAGACAGCCGTTGCCAGTTTCCTAGGACTGCGTGTACACAAAGCTGGCCTTCTGTGTGGGATCCAAAGAGGCATGGCACAAATACTTAAAGAACCCAGAGCTGAAACAGCCTCCAAAACCTGTGTGGTACGAATGGAGTCGAGGCTGTTAAAATGTGAGCAACTTAGTGAGCCCTATGAGACTGAAAGATCTCCTTTCAAACCACTTCACTCTGTTGCTCGCTTGACACCATCTAATGTCTGATGTCAGTGTGTTTCCTCCTAAATCCTCTTATCTACACGTAGCTCGACAGGCTTGTGTGACCAAAGCTGCAATATGGATAATCCCATAATATATATGTGTGCTAACAAAAGTTCCAACTGCCTAAGGTGACCAATAGGAGTACCATTGCTGTGAGTGTGCCTTGGTCGCTGGTAACTCAGAAGGACCATTCACAAGGTTCATAGGGACACCCACAGGAAAGAAGGGTGACTGAGCAGCAGAGAACTGAGATGCTAAACCCACCTTTCTACCTGTTCTTACAGCACACTTCTTTCCCTTCCTCCCAATTGGTCTGCGTAGAGCACAAAGCTACATTTTTCTGCTTTATTCTTGTACTTTGAGTGCCTTATCCTCCAAATCCAGTAATAGTCTTTTAAGAACAAAAACGAGACTCTTTTTCTCTTATTCACTTTTAACGCATTACTTATTGCAGAGAGAAAACTACCCATGAATGTCCAGACTACAAAACCAGTGGCCCCAACTCCTGTTTCTTTAGCAAGCAGTATACCTCCATATGGAAAATATACGTCATCACAGTAAATGCTACCAATGAAATGGGAAGCAGTGCATCCGATCCTCTTTATGTGGATGTGACCTACATAGGTAAGGGGGAAGCGGTGAGGAATATGTTACCATTATGGTATGTATGCATGGTATGGTATGGTATGGTATGGTATGGTATGGTATGGTATGGTATATCAAAAGTCAAACTCAGCTTGAGTCTTTCTGGCTTATGGATGAACCCTAGATAAGAACTGTGCGAGAACTCATCGCATCTTTGTTGAGGGAGCATTTCACATCAACAGTATTGACTCTTGACAGCAAGATTAGTACTTGGGATCTTTGTGTTCTCTTATTTCCCCTCAACTCTAATCCTGGTGCCTTATATCCAGTGTGAGTGTTCTATACGCCTCCTTTATGAATAGCTCCCCTGGTCCTCTCCCTTCAACCATGTTGCCTTCTTTACTAGTCAACTCAAATTTGTTTTCTTTTTGCTGGGGGTGTGCTGGAGATGAAACCCAGAGATGGGTTCATACCCATCTCCCACGGAGCTAAACTAACAGCTCCAAATGTCATTTCTTTCTCCTTGTGGAAGACAGGATACTCTTCAGAAATGAATGTCTGTAAAAGGATCTTCTGGTTCGGAATTCACAGGAATCATTCCAAATTCTCTGCCTGAAACTAGCTCTCTGCAGTAGTGTATCTACTTCACTATAATTTGAGTTGTTCTTAGACAAATAATCTGCCGGGGGTGATGGGGGTATGGGTTCATGGCAGGACACTGCCTGATATAAATAAAAAAGCCGCAGTTTCAAGTATCCCCAAAATTTAATAAAAAATAATAATAACAACAGGAAGTAAGTAGCAATTGGTCAAAGGTCTGGTCACTTCTATACTGTCTGGAGAAAGCATCCACAAAGTAGAGCCGTCAATTTGACATAGTTTCTTGCTTTGCATGATCAGCGTTATGTAGTGGGGCAATTGGACACAGCTGTAATGGCCTTTATGGTTAGCACAGATAATAAATAGACTCCTAGGGGAATAGATAGGACAAGGAGAATGATGTTTAATAATAATTTATGAAGTAGCTAATAAGGTTTGAAATTACTCAAGCCTTCCCCATGGAAGCAATACCACTCAACAATAGAAAGCAGGCCAAGCTTCTCCAGTAGTCACACGTCTCCCTCCCAACTTCACGTCCTCATTTTTGCTTACCTTGTTGTTACATTTTTAATAGCACACGGAGTCCAATTAGTACCAACCATATGGGGTCATCCAATGGCGCATGGGCAACATGCTATAGCCACACACACACACACACACACACACACACACACACACACACACAGAAAAGTGACGTTTTGCTCCTCCAGCCTCCACCAATGGCCAGTTGCTCCTCAGCTAGGGATTGGGCCTCAGGGGCCCCTCCCCCTTGATGCTTGAAGTTTGAACTTATTTGATCTCCTCCAGATCCTTGACAGGAAGTCACAGTAGCTGTGGTTTCATGTGTGCAGCAGCCAAGTCTTGCCAAAAGACAGCCTTTCACAGCACACTTCCCCACTTCCAGCTCTTGCAGTCTTCCTGGCCCCACTGCTGTGCTATTTCAAGAGCCCTGGGGAGAGGGATTTGATGCAGGTGCTGTTCCATCTTCAGCTGAGCACTCACAGCCCACTAGGTGTTTCACTCTTAGGACGGTAGTCCCAAGGCCCATCATTGGAAAAATCTGAGAGTATGTGCCTCCTTTGATTATTTTTAATTGTAGTAAAATACATCTAACAAAAACCATCGTCTTAAAATCATATTAAGCTGTGTAATTCATGGCATTAGTTCATTTAGAATGTTGCACACACATTAGCTAATTCTTGCTGCAACCTACAGGGAAAACACTGTTTAAAAAATGTTTCAAAATAAAAGTTGCTTCTAAGTTTCAAATAACACACATTACTGAATATGTGACTTCGGACCAGTAATTGTTCCTCTTTTCATTTCTCTCCTGCCAAAGGGGCCCAGTAATACAGGTTCATGACATTTGGGGAAGGGATTAAATGATGATTCATTGTTAGAGTATTGTTTTAATTCATGACATGTAGTATGCATTCAAGAAATGACAAGGTTTTGCTAGTGGGAATTCAGTATACATCTGGGGACTGAATAAATGGGACAATTAACTGCTCAAGGGAACACTCTCCAAAAGGTCAAGTTAGGCACTTGTTAGCCATTTACTATCTGTCAGGAAGAAGTCTGCTCTCCACAGAGAGTGATGTATACTCTGAGTGTAAAATATAATTGATGAACTGAAGGCAAATATCCATAAACTTGAGCCGGGCAGTGGTGGCACACGCCTTTAATCCCAGCACTCAGGAGGCAGAGGCAGGCGGATCTCTGTGAGTTAGAGACCAGCCTGGTCTACAAGAGCTAGTGCCAGGACAGGAACCAAAAGCTACAGAGAAACCCTGTCTCAAAAATCCAAAAAAAATCCATAAACTTGTTACCTGCAAAGTTATGAATATGAGTGGGTGATGCACAGAAAGATGTGCAGGCTTTCGAGGAAATGGTGGCTCCCAACTCAGGGAAATTAACTATTCCAAATGCCTCCCCCAATCATCTCCTTGTAACTCCTGTTCCAGTTATTATCACATGGACATTTCTGTTAGGGGAAAATGTGCACATGTATATGAACCTGGCTGAAAGAAAATGGAGAATATAGCCAAAGCAAAATCTCAGTTGCTTTTTGTTGTTGTTGTTGTTACTTTTCAAACCCCATCTTCAAGTTCAAACGTGACTGATCACATGTCAAGAGTAAGAAGGAATTTATTATGTCCTCTGGGAGCTTCAATGCAGTGGAGAAAGTGGATGGACAGAAATACAAGCCATGATAGAAAACAGTAGGGCCCAAGAGAAGGTCTAAGCCATGAGGGAAGCTAAAGATGTCTTTTATATCCACAGTTGAGCCAGAGCCTCCTCGGAACCTGACTTTAGAAGTGAGACAGCTGAAAGATAAGAAGACGTATCTGTGGATAAAATGGTCCCCACCCAACATAACTGATGTGAAAACTGGTTGGTTTACAATGGAATATGAAATTCGATTGAAGTCTGAAGGAGCAGATGAGTGGGAGGTGAGTCAAAGTGAAGTTTATTGGAGGACCCATGTCCTTCGGCAGGGATAACCCTCTCACAATAGAGCAGATCATTTCCCCAATTATTGTGGGCATCCCCTTGCAGACACAGCCCTGCTAGACAAGCAATGCCTTCTCCCTTCTACTGAGATTGAAAGATGTTCGTATTCACAACTCTTACAAAGACAATTGCTTGTACCAGACAGGTTCCCAATTTACCCACCCAAGAATATCTCAGACAGCCTCTGGATATAAACTATAAGCTATACTGAGCCTGGAGGCAAGAGAGTCAGTTTAATATGCCCATGGTCAGTGTTTTTAAGGAAATGCTTTGTAATAGTTCAGTGTAAAATGATAATGCTACAATTACAGGCATAATGGTATTCTACCCTATGTTGAAAATGAGACATTTGCAAACCTAGTCAAAATAATAGAATCACACATTTTTAAAAAGGTAATTAAAATTTCTAAAGAAAATAAGTAGTCTATATTTTAATCCTCCCTGTCTCAGTTTCCTGAAAAAAAATATCTTTAATAGCTGGTTAATCCAAACTAAGTCTACTCCAAGACATTTTTGATGTAGTAAGAAGAGGAGACTACTTGTTCAGAAGGGTGTCCCACAGTCTTCACCTTTTATTAGTTCTTTGTATATTCACTTAGCTAATATCTTGGCTCCTGTACTGTCTGCAATCATACTTTAGATTTCAGGGCTTGAGTAGATTCAAGGGAAATACATGTAGTGCAACATGCTCTATAAGTAATATGAACTTTGTACTATATTCTTCATCATCAGCATCATCAAGTCATCTGATTGACCTCGGATAATTGATACTAAATCTGAGTCCTAGACTTGGAAGGTAGAGACCTGGTGGCTTCCTTGCTAAATAACATTCTATTTGTGTATAATCACTTCAACATACGTGAAGATTTGGATTCCTTCCACCTAGTACTTTTTACACCAACTAATAATCCTTTAAATTAATTACTTCATTGGAATTTGTAAACTAATAATTTGATTATCTCTTATATGTACGTCTAATTTGTTAGCTAATTTACTTTTACTAAGTAAAGTGAGGAGGGGTGCCAATTATCTTTCTGAAATAGAGTTCCAGATAGAGACATAGAAAACCTTTTTTATTTTTATGAGAAAATTTTTATGAGAAAATTTCAAGAAGAAGAAGGAAAGGATAGAACAGAGCAATGAAAAGAAGGCATCCTCTAAGCATAGCCATGTCTAACTCCCCATTAACTTATGTGAAAGAAACACCTCTTTTCTCATAAGAAGAGTCATAGGTGACCTCTGTTTCTCTTGTTCTTCCTTAGAACCATTTTACAGGGCAGCAAACGCACTTTAAGGTTTTTGACTTATATCCAGGACAAAAATACTTTGTACAGACTCGCTGCAAGCCAGACCATGGATACTGGAGTAGGTGGGGCCAAGAGAATTCCATTGAAATACCCAGTGGTGAGTGTTTTGACTATATTTTCCCCTATGTTTATATAGCAATAAAACTGCATGTAATAGCTACTAATAATACAGAAATAGATATGTGATTATCATCTCTTAATCTAACAAAATGACATTTGGAAAAGCTGTATTACTGCCTGACTCATAGTTGCCAAACATCAGTTTCTAGAATAAAGTTACAGGTATGACTCTAGAATGTCCTCCAAGGACTCACTGGCCATTCATTCTGATCTGACCTTCCTATCTATCTTATATGTACCTTCTGTTGACGAATTGCTTTCCAAGTCAAGAAACACAAGCAGGAAGACAAAATCTTGAGCCCAAATTTGCATGGGTTATTTTGGTTGGCTAGTTGGTTTTTAATGTTGATATTATACGTGATCAAAGCTCTCTGGCTGTTTGTTTTTTAGACTTCACCCTAAAAGATACAACCGTGTGGATCATTGTGGCCGTTCTCTCTGCTGTCGTCTGTTTGATTACGGTCTGGGCAGTAGCTTTGAAAGGCTACAGGTACTACACAGTCTCCCCGCTCTTCTCTCAGGCATTATTATCTGGAATAATGACAAAAAACACCGATAGAAAGATGACGAAAACCAGCAGACAGCCTAAGTACCTTATTTATCCATTAGTGCTAGTACTTCTTCTAGTACAAAACAGTAATCTTTTATCAATGGGTTTTTAAAAAGAGTATTAAAAATATACTTTTTGAATCTAGTGTTCTTTCTATAAAATAGGGGCTTAGAGCTGTAAAATTGTAGAAATCTGGCAAAATCAGCTAACACTGAAAGAATCAAATGGAACAAATAAGCCAGTAGCTTGAAATTAGCCTTCAGAATTAGCCAGCGCTACCTCTGGCATTTACCACTACTTTAATACAGCCCTAGAATTCAACCTCTTATAGCCCAAGCATCAACTGTTTGAGAACTGGGAGAGGGGGGCAGGAATCTCTGTCAAATATTATAATGAAATATGAGTCATTTGTCCACTCTCACAAATTATTTTATAGCATGATGACCTGCATCTTTCCACCAGTTCCCGGGCCAAAAATAAAAGGATTTGATACTCATCTGCTGGAGGTGAGTGTCAGAAGCAGAGAGAGTGATGTGACTCACTGCTTGATGGTAATTAGGTTTGCATGCGCCCGCTCAGTCCTCATCAGTCCAACCTGGCCCTCATCCCTTTCCAGTCACCCCTTCTCATCAGCATGTATATGAACGGAAGAAAGTGTTTGGGATGACTGTGTTCATCATCATATTCTCAAAGTCACAGAGCAGAGAGAGACAGCTCGGAGGCCTCCAAACTCATGGGGAGGCATGTTACATGGCCCAGGGCTGCTCCTGAAGACAGAGATGACCGTTTTATTCAAATAATGAATTTAGAGAGAGAGAGAGCAGATATTTTAACTAATGCTCACTACCACCGTCTCCCTTACACATGAGTCCAAGCTTCCATTTCAATGTTCTTTACAAAGCCACTGTGCCAGAATTTTCCATTGTCCCTGTGCTCGCATTTGAGTGGTCAGTAGATCAGTACTCTCTGGGCCTGTGTTGCCCAAAGCACACTAGACTGATTTGAGACAGAATTAAAGCATTTCTTTCTGGGTTGAAATGTATAGTCTCAATCTGACCTTAACAGTAATGTGGAGAAAAGCCATTACCTGTATATAAAAGTAAATGCCGGTTGATGTGATTGCGTATTAGGCTTATAAGAATGTGGAAAGTGAATTTGATTTGTCTTTCAAAATCACTTTGATTGTAACTACAAGGACTAGAGCTGAGGAGTTTAGGTTTCTGGTCCAGGGGGTCTTACCCACTCTTCAGTCTACTTTTGACCATTATAAAGCCAACAGCAATGTCTCAGCCAAGCAAGTTACCCAGTATCTATCTCATAGCTCAACCTGCTAGCCACAGAGACCTAATGATAAATGGTTACTCTATGGTTATACTGTTTGTATTCTTTCCTGCCTTATCTCTAAACTTCATAAGAACCCTGAGAGATAAATGATATTACTCCCATTATAAAATTGGCGAGAAACCTATGCAAAGTCATAGCTACCTGGTAAGGGATAAAAGCCAAGGCTTAGGCATGTGACCTAAGCCAGAGGACTTGGGAGAAGAGGAGAAGTAAAAAGAGACTGGATGAGGAAAGAGAAAAATAAGGAGAGAGGGGGGGGGAGAGAGAGAGAGAATGTGGAATAGGAGGAAGAAAGAGGAGGAGGTAGGAGATGAAAGAAATAAAGACTGCCCCTCAGACTGGAGAGGGAGGGGGAGAGGAGTGGGGGGTGGGGGAGAGGAGAGGGAGGAGGGGGGAAAAGGGAGATGGGGAGGGAAATGGGAGGCGGGGAGGAGGCAGAAAAAATTTTTTTTCAATAAAAAATTATATTTAAAAAAAAGAATAGAAAAATTGGATCAGAAGAGAAAGGAAAGGAGAGATGGAAAAGAGTAAGAGGAGGGAAAAGGGAAGGAAATGGGGTGGTAGGAGAAGCCAGAGACAAAGCCAACCCACTGTCACCAAACTCCAGAAGGTGGTAGAGGAGGCTAGGAGGCCAGCCCCCGCATCTCACAACTACTCTGCCATTGAGTACCAGTCAGGAGTATACACAGACACTACGACTTCAAATGTTTCACAAGACACTTTGGTTTCATAGTTCTATGTTTATCATACATGGAGTAATATAGTACTTTCCCGTGGAGTTCATAGCCACTATTAGAGACAAAGAAAAATCATGAGAGATTAAAGAAAGGTAATTTGGTGAATAGGACCCAAAAGGTACTTGTAGATGACCTGACCTACATGTCTGCAACCTGGGGGCGGGGATACAGTGAGACTCCTCACAGACCCTGCCGCTAAGCAGTAGGAGGTGGAAGGCTTCCGTTCCAAGACTAAGCAAGATACGGCCTGGCTGCGGCCCCAGGAGCAAAGCCCCTTTACTCTGCTCAGATACCGCTCAGCTGTGAGGCCAAGGGTGGCGTGCGCTGAAGCTAACAGCCATCTCTCCTTGTGTCTGTGTTTCAATAGAAGGGCAAGTCTGAAGAACTCCTGAGTGCCTTAGGATGCCAAGACTTCCCCCCCACTTCTGACTCTGAGGACTTGCTGGTGGAGTTCTTAGAGGTGGATGACAATGAGGACGAACAGCTAATGCCCTCCCGTTCCAAAGAGTACCCAGGCCAAGGTGGGAAACCCACGCACCTAGACCCCGACAGTGACTCGGGTCACGGAAGCTATGACAGCCATTCTCTTCTGTCTGAAAAGTGTGAGGAGCCCCAGGCCTACCCACCTACTTTCCACATTCCTGAGATCATTGAGAAGCCAGAGAATCCTGAAGCAAATATCCCTCCCGCCCAGGACCCCCAAAGCAGCGTCCCCTATTTTCACGCAGATGTATCCAAATCTTCAACATGGCCTTTGCTGCCAGGCCAACACATGACCAGGTCTCCTTATCACAGCACTGCTGACGTGTGCAAGCTCGCTGGAGGTCCTGTAGACACGCTCGCCTCTTTCCTGGACCAAGCAGGAAAACATCTTCTAAAATTCTCTAAAACCCTTGAGACTGAAGAGGAAGAAGAGGTGGCGGAGCACGAGGAGTCGAAAAGCTTCCGTTCTAAAACTAAACAAAACGCATCATGGCCCCTGCTCCAGGAGAAAGGCTCCATTGTCTACTCTAAACCCCCAGATTATGTGGAGATTCACAAAGTCAACAAAGATGGAGTACTATCATTGTTCCCCAAACAGAAAGAAAACAACCAGATGGAGAAGCCCGGGGTTCCTGAAACCAGCAAGGAGTACGCCAAGGTGTCTGGGGTTGTGGATGACAACATCCTGCTGTTAGTGCCAGATTCACGAGCTCAGAACACAGCTTTGTGTGGGGATTCAGCCAAGAAGGCTCCACTGTCCCTCGAACAGAATCAGTCTGAGAAAGATCTGGCCAGCTTGGCTGCAACCTCAAGCAACTGTAGACTCCAACTGGGCAGGTTGGATTACCTGGATCCTACATGCTTCATGCACTCCTTTCACTGATAGCTAGACTCGTGGAACGATTGGCTAAAATGTGATTTCTCTTCAGGTAACACTACAGTGTCATGGAATAGTGTGGTCTGCTAGCAGATGTTTCAGGATGTGGGTAAAATAACACACTACTTCACTCCTTTACATGCTCCCATTTCAGCACCTTCCTCCCCTCAGCAGCTGGTTTCCAGAACAATCGATCGTGTATGCTGTGATTCGCAGACTTGCTCTTTGCTACTAGTAATATATATGTACATATATATGCACACATATGTATATATATATAATGTGTTCAATGAAATAAAAGCACATTGTTTGCCATTCTTGAGGGATGGTGCCAACAGGTATAGCCTCTGCAATAGATTTGGCTTGTGGTAAAGGTATAAACAGTCAAAATAACTTAGCGTAAGATGATGTTGAAAAGGCCATAAAAGAGCTTTTCAAAACGGATGGCTAAGCCTTTACACTCCTCCTTCATTTGATTCGGATGGTCCAAGTATAACCCTTTTCTGAAAGGACACATTCCAGGACACCAGCCAAATTGTTTACAACAGTCCCTATGCCTGCCTGACCCTTTGCCTGTATGCAAATGAAATCGGGCCCCCCTTTTTGTTCTTAAAGTAATTTGAATGTGTCAAGAACGGTTTGTCCTGCCTAAATGTTATTTCTTTCTAAGGCCTCTAGAGTGTATAGTTTGGGGGAATAGAATTTTCTTACAAGATAAGGCCCATGAATTTCACGTGATGAACCATTTTCAAATGTTTTCCTTGCTTCATTTCAGCAGGACAGATGATTTGTTATACACCCTAGTATTTTCTTAGTAGAAAACAGACTCCCAAAGACTAATTTTAATCTAACCGGTAATTCTTGCAGGGTGGTAGTAGAAGTGTTGCCTTACTGTATATACAATTTTGCTTCAATACAAACCCGTAAGTTTAGCACTGTATTTTTGAAGACTATTTTTCTATCGCTTAGGTAAAGTAAAGACTATTTTCTAACTTCCCTGTACTGCTGTTTACGTCTTCAAGTGGGGGCAGTCATTTCTGCTGCAAGGTTATAATGAGTATTTAAAGTATATATAGTATATGCAGACCATGTCAGAGAGAAATGTCAGGCCAACCCCTTGCCCACTTAAGAATGTGAAGTGAATGAAAATTTTAAATAGGTACAAAATAGTACCATTTATCTGATTTTTTTTTATCTCCAGGACACTTTAAATAGGAGCCATCTCTATTAGGGTTTTAGGACTCTAGACCTAAAATATTTCTCCCATGAACTTAGGGCTCTGCCCACCTATGGGTGACTTTTATGAACCATGTAAGTGGAGAGTGGTGACCGCTAGCATAGTTTCCAAGACAGAGAATTGGCTTTGTTTTATTTACTTTTTTTTTCTGAGAAAATCTGAACACAAAAGGATTTTAAGCAAAACCGAAAGTCAAGTTCTCTCTGGAATAAACGCACTCGCAAACTCTTGGCAGAGGCTGTGCTCACGTCAAGAACGTCCAGCTAGAAGTTCTAGGAATTCAAGCAGCTGTTAGTGATAACAAGAGCTTCAAAGGTCAGGAGACGGAGAATCCACAGACAACTGCAGGGGCAGGCTTCCTGAGAAGGCTCGCAACCTTCTATCTCCACCTTACTAGGAGTACCCAGGACTCATCTGCTGCAGTCTGGCTCCCCTCTCCTCTCCTCTCACCTACTGGCAAGTAATTCTCTGTCCATTCACTAACAGGATATAGAGACTCTGAACTGAACCTCTTGTGAGGTTCATCCAACAAGCACGTATTGGTAGAAACTGCACTCAGAGATTCCTTGATGCCTGAGAGTGAACATACAGCCAACCCTTTCTGAACTGCAAATGCAACTCCCTGAAGCCTATTTTCCCAATACATAAACATCTTGTGGACAACAGAAGCATTTGGCAACGTTGTTCAGGCTCATTCAGTGCCCTGGATCCTCCATACTGAATGTCTGAGGACCAGTTGCTTTGGCACTACTTGGAAGTGTTGTTTTCAGCATCTCAGGTCTCATCGAAGACATATGGAATTGGAGTCTGCATTTTGCTAAATGCCAAGATAACTCACATGCATACTCAATCTGGAAGCAGTGTTTTCTACGACCATTTCCCTGAGAGGTTTTTTTCCCCCTCTCTTGGAAAGTATGGAGCAAGTCTATTTAACTTGAAAACAGCAGCACTGTACGTAAAGAGAAAGCATGAACAAAACTATTAGTGATTTCAGATTTACATAATGATGACGCTTATATGAAGTCACATGAGAGAATGGCATGCAAAATGCACACACCTTCCAAGAGGGCCAACGAATCTAGTTCACCTTGAAAACTACTGACAAAGAAACTTCAAAACCAGTGCAAACTAATCCTTTCCCAACATAGTCTGTTCTTCTCCAGGAGATAAATATATACATTTATTAACAAATTATGACCACTATAGAACTGATAGTGCATGTGCTACTCATAGTTTGAAATTTAAAAATCTGCTTCTGATATATAATTTTGCATAGATGAAAAATATGACTGTCTACAGACAAATCTGATCCAACAAAAATCTATGTTCATGAAATAAAAGAAAATCTATAGGTCTATTTGTTTATTAGAATCTTTATGATAAAGTATTTTCTGTTGAAAGACAGCTGCTTGAGCGACAGAATGAATACTAGGAGTCAAGACACCTGGGTTCTAGTCCTGCTATGCCTTGGAAAGTCCAACTGCCTATTCTGGATTTCAGTTTTCCTGACTATATTGGACGAATAGCCAGTAGCCTTGACTCTGTGACTCACTAAGTAATTTGAGCCGATCGCTGGCATCTTCATTAAGTTGTGAGACAGTTCTAGAATTGCCATCACCTTCACCAATGTGCTCGTTTCTGCTTCACTCTTTCAAATCTCAGGACCTGTTTGTCTTCATACATTGCACGTACACGGTATAAGTCAGCCTTTAAGATCATGTGCAAATATGTGTGCAGAGATTAAGGACACCGAAAATGAGACACTGGTCTTTAGAAAAATTACCTTTAGTGTGTCAAGTCATGCCCATTCCTGCGTGGAGCCAAAAGCCTCAAATCTCTGTTCTTGTATTTGGTTGTTGGCTGTTTTCCCACCATCGTATTTTGTGAATAACCACTGCACGTGTAGATTAAAGAACCTTTTGCTCTGAACCACAAAAAACAAATGTAGTTTTGTAAGCAACTGCCTAAGAACTCATGTTATGAAGTACATGGAAACTGAATACATCCCGTGGATGATTGATGGAACTTTCGGACACAAATGGCAAAATAGTCTATGATAGGTTTTAAGAAATGCATAGAAAGAACTTTAATATGAGCACAACTTGCCATCGGCTGATTTTTACTAGATGATACATTCTCCTAAGTGCCTGAGACCAGTTCTGGTAATCAGTTGTAGGTCAATGATTCATTGTAAACTCGTCTGATGGGAAGCAGCCAAGCTCTTGCTGCACACATAAGCTCAAACCTGGGAGAGGCTTTGCTTGACATGATCCAAGAAGATTGGTGAATCGTCAATTAATGCACCATCAAAGGACCTGAGCTCCAGGGGAAAGTCTGTCCGGACAGAAACCTAGATCCTTTCTTTCTCATTTATTTTATTTAAATTCGGCTTCCCTCTGCTGTCCCATCATTTGCAAAATGACTCAGCCTGCCTTCAGCAACTTCAATCTAACACACAGAAGAAAGAAACAGATCTCTATGTTTTACAAAGTGCCTTTCTTTACCTTTTTTTTAAAAAAAAAAAAAAAGCCTTCATTTTGGAAGAAAAGCACATTGGTTGGAAAGTGAATTTTACCTTAAATGGATTTCTTTTAACTATATGGAGAGACAAAGAAAAGAACAGCCAGAAAAAGGATGACAAAATGATCTAAAGACTAACCATCAAAATATGCAGAGATTTCTGTGTGTAGTTTAATTGAATCATCACAGAACTAAAATGAATACTGTCAATCACTTTACCTAAGTGTGAATGGAGATAAGGCTGCCAGCCCATGACTCAAAACTTTCCATTCTGAAACAAAATGTTGATGCTTTCTTGAAGGACACTGAATTGTATGCCAAGCCCGGCACAGGACAAGATGTGCACTTTGAAGCTCTGTACATGGATGGAAAAGTAGAAATAACCTTGGATTTATATCCCCCAATTTGCCATGGATGAAAGCCTTGTGTGTATTGAAGCGGGTTTCTTTTCTGACTTTTGGCTCAAACACAACACTGATGCAGCGAGGAGAGTCACTGAGCTTTTCCATGTTCAGTTCTAGGGTCGCATCACTGTTGCTAACTAGGCTGCATGATTGCCTCTTCTGACTCCGGCCACTGGTTTCCTCTTTTTAGATAAGTAGGTTGGCACCCTCAAAAGATGTTTCTAAGATTTCTTCTAGGTCTGTCTTTCAGTTAACTTTTATGAGTTATGTAAAATCTAAGACTATAGATGAGAAGCCCAGATTCCACTACTGACATGCCCTCGACCTAGGCAGTGAATGCCTGAGACCGTGTGTAGAAATACTCGGAAAACTGAAATCCATTTCTCCACGTTAGGTAGACCAGAACCGTTGGGTCTCTGCTTCTTTCCGTTCTGCATAACTAAAACCTTTTCAGTCCCTCTTTCCAGGACCTGTTTTTCTCCCTAAAGATTAATAATGTAGAGTAGTAAACTTGGGGTCTACAGGGACAAAATTACCCATAAACATGAATTTAAATTTTTATAAGATAGACCAATTATTAAATTTCCCCACAAACACAATCCTGAACTGAGATCATAAGTAATACTTCATTTAGATATGTACTTGCTTAAAGATCCAACCTAGTAACTTGTTATCTAAGAAATCTAAGCTATCTTGATGAGTAGGTATTGACAGTCTTAAAAAGAAACTTTAAAATAGAGACTTTTTGCTTCAGAGTTTATGATCTAACGAGAAACTCTACTTATGATTACAATCCTTTCTTATGATTAACAGTCATGTCATCCATGAATCGTGTGGGAATTGTCTCCTCAGTCTTTTTATTTTCTAAGAAGGTACTTTTGGGTTTGAGCTCTGCCTGGTATCAGCTTCCAATGGAGGGAAAGGGTAGAAGATGGGACGTTCCAAAGTGTGGGACATATCAGAACCCCCACGAAATGGAGAGCATACATTAATTCAAATCTAACTGACAATGGTCAAGCTACATGCAATTATGAGTTAATTGCTGAGAGACATACACAACTCATAAGACCATGAGCTGACAGCTCTCCTGTTCCCACCACTCCCTTTTATTTCAAGTTAGAATGCACTGAGCCACGTAGAGTAGAATGGCACCCATCTAGATGGTCTAGCAGATGAGCAAAGGGACTCACAGGGCATCCTGGCATACTAATTAATATCTATCTACTGCCATTTAAAAAGAAAAGAAAAATTCAAAAGCCTTCGTACTATCAAACATAAACTTTAATAGTTATGGCCAATTTATGCCCACCTAGATAAACTAAAAAATACTGGCTTAGTTTGTCTGTACACATTTTGCAAATTGGGAAGGCAGCCTTTTTACCACATTATTGAAAATGGGGGGAAAAAACTATATAGCAAAAATACCTCTGAAAATCATTTGTTTTACTAAATTCCTGAGGAAAGTATTTTGAATTTTTAAAACTACCTCCCTTCCCCATCCTAATAATTTTCCTTCAAAGCTGCTTATAGTTAGGAGTGAAAGGTACCACATCTTATCTTGGGACTGGTGTTGATGGAATATTTGTTATATTTTTCATGTGACACTCCTAAGTATCTGTTATTTTACACTATATTGCTTTTTGTGGTTCAAAACCAGTATATGCCATATTGAAATATATAATCCTCATGCTGTAAATTTATCATGTAATACAAATGAAAATCATTATTTAATGACTTACGATCTAACCGTATCTAATTTCAGTATAGTTATGTCTATGTCTATAAAACAAAATTAAAAATCTGTAATCATATATGCAATCATGTATTTCTTTGAAAACTGTGAATGTTCTGATTTTTCCTTCATCTTTGTCTATAAGTGATACTGTATGTCATTGTATAGCTGACCTGAGCTTCTAATGTGTTTACAGTACAATCCACCAATTAGTGAAATGTAAACCCTTTGGCTTTGCTTCATGTCATTTCTGCGTGTTCTTTGCACCTTGAGACTTGCTTCTGTGTGCTCTATCAATAATTTTAAACAATGTGAGAGTCTCGTACAAACCAAAGCAATTCAGACGCAGCCCATTGAGTGATCATGCCCTGTGTAAAGCCATATTGAAGCAAAGACGCCGCTGTAGCATAAGGCTCCCTGTTCCCAAAGCTGCCACTACCTCTCTCTTGCTCTTTCCCTATAAAATGCCAATCGAAATTCAGCCTTGAAGTGGGAAATTAGAAGTGGTTACTAATGTTGCCATTTTTAACCTTCTAACTCACTACTTTACAGATTTATGCTAGGTTTTATGAATAACCATTTTTACATTTTGATATTTTGTAGACATTGGCTGATGAATAAAGTGCAGAAAGACCGCACAGTAAGTCATCAGAATTTTTTTTTTTAAAAATCATAGATTGCAAGTTTTCCCCTATCAGTGAGTCACCTCAAGGTGGTTGGCCAAAGCCATTATAATTTTTGAAATACCCAGCGCAGTGCCTGGCTGGTAGAGTGTTTTATTTCCTTCGCCTCCCTAGTTCTATTTTCTTGTTTGAAATACAAATGAACAGAATTGCATGGATGTTGCTAAAGTGATTTTTCTTGAAGAATTTTTGCTGCTAGAAGATCTATAATCATGAATTTGTAATTTAATTTACCCAGACTCCCAAGAAATAAATACCCTCTTGGTTTGATTTTTAACCATCAAGTATATTATGGCATGGGAAGAGTCAGCCATTTATCAGAAATAATCTTGCTCTGATTTTAAAGGCTCATTTCTGTGTGTCACGGCTGTGGTGTCTGCTTTCTTTCTTTTGTATTAAAGGATTATACACTGCTAAGCACATATGATTTGTCTCTTACATTTTTCACTCTATGAATCTCGGGTTATTGCACGTTGTGCTTCCTGGTTTTCATGGATTTATCCATTTGTCTCTATCCACTTTGTACGAACAACATGGACAGTTAAATCATGGTCAATAATACAAAAAAATATGCTAATTTCTCTCACATCATTTTTACTGCATGACAAAAATAATGCTTGCTGAACAGAATCTTAGCGATCCCAGAATAATATGGTCATTATATTTCTATTTGTGTTGTTATTGAAAATCCAGCTCAGTGCCTGTCTCAATAAATATGTGTTTCCCTTGCTTGTCCTTCTTCTCTTTTTTTATTTAAAAAAAAGGAGGGGAATGTGAAGAATATTGTGTATATGGCTAAGACAATTTTATTAAAGACTTTTTAAGACACAATGATATATAATTAAGAAATTGTTCAACAAATTAAATAAAACAGATTTTCCCATTTGTGCTCACGAATCCCAATAAAAAGACAAAATTCCCCTCCTTTAACTCATTTCTGTCATAAGAGAAGTTGACAGAAATAAAGTAAGATGAAACCAGATTTATGGGGATCAAATAAGGAAGCTCATTGAATTGTGATAAAATTAAGGAAGGACCAGCCCATCGAGGGGTAAATGGAATCCCTTTGAACAGTGTATTCATCACTATTATTAACATTTCTTTTCTAACAAATTCCATCAGACTAAGCCTGAATGGATAATCTTTACCTTTCAAGGAATTCTGATCTAGAATCATCTAGTGCTCATATTGTGTTACAGAACTGTGTAGGGTGTTTGAGATGTCTTTTCTGTTCCTATTTATCATCTAGCGCTGTGTCTTATTAGAGAATGAATATTCTCTTTCTCATGGTGACTATCAGTCTCTAAAACTTGGCCTTGGGCAAAAAAAAAAAAAAGCACTGACTTTCTGTGCTTCTATTGGACCCATCTGCCTTTAATTCTAAGGCTCATGAGTATTTTTAACTTGCAACATTTGGAGTGTCTGTTACCAAAATTAAGTACGATACAATTAACAGTGACCTGAGGCCATAAAATAGGTGACATGTTTTCTGAATGTATTGTGTGTGCTTTTCTGAGAGAAATCATGAGCTCACACTTCCACATCTTGCCAGAAGCAGGTCTAAAATCTGAACCCATGTGGTCCTCCTCCAACAATATAGTCTAAATCCCCATCCTGCTATTTAGAAACTGGAAGACACAACTTCCATCTTGGTGTGTAGAAGACAAGAAATAAGGCCATTAAACACTGCCCCCCACCAAGGACATTACAGAATGTGGGGGGAGAAATCTCCTGATGGATGTGATAGCTTATCTAAAGTGTGCAAGGGAAATCCAGCCAATTCTTGATAGTGTGAAATTCAGAATTTTTAACATCTAAAATTACAATTCTTTTATGGTAAGCTCCTCTCACACTATACTGCGCAACCCCAGCCATCCCTGGGAACGTTAAACGTTCTTCTCCTTCTTTGACCAGGAAGAGACATATTAAAGTGTGCTCTTTACATCATTATAAAATATTTTATAAAATGCTTTATAAATGGATGGAGGAAAAAAATGGGAATTTTATAAATGTATTTTTAAAAGGTTGTAAATGCTCCAGGGAACGTTTACAGTGTGGTTGCTTCTTCTAAGACATAGGATGTAACCATAAGTGATATTTCTAGTAGTTTGGTTTTCCACGAACAATGCTGATAGTACTTCTGAATTGTGTGAATTCGTGATACATTTCCCAGTGCTTTTTTTGGAGTTAATGTTTTTTGCAATGGTAAGTGTTTGGTTTAAATTATTTTAATAAGTTGTTTCCTTGTATGCTTACACCACATATTATATGACAGATGGAACATGAAGCAAGCTCTCTCTTTAATAATCTTTATTAGAACTTGGTTTTTGTTTAGTTTGGTTTGACTTGGCTTTGGCTTGGCTTGGTATTAAAAAAAGGAAAATGGCATTCTTGCACTAAAATATTGGGGCACATGCTAACACATTTTTACCTCAGGCCACTCATCTATGTTTTTGCAAAGACAAAATTTGTACTCATCTTTCAACACCTTCTCGTATTTTCCTTCTAATTCCAAATCAACTCTGAGTCATTCTTTCAAATAGACTGAGTTCTACGTCTTCTTCTACTGACCTCATGTTCCTTGTCTTTATTCACTTGCCAAATTCAAGTCTTGAAAATGCAAACATTACTGGAAGCACCCAGAAGTTCCTTGGATCTTCTCGTGGAAACAACCAAGAACTATCATTAAGAGAATTTCCAAATCCGATATTCAATCACATTGTGAAACCACAAAATCTTAGTGACAGAACTGACATTTTCTTGTATTAACTTTTTCTAGCCTAGAATTGCTCTACCTCTTAATCTAAAATCTCAGTTATGATTCAACCATATTTTTATTAAACAAAATATTTCATAAATGCCTGGAAATTTCCTAGGAAAACATAAAACATAACAAACAGCTATTAATGAACATCAGATTTCCTCAATATCAGCATTTCCCCTTATATGGTCCATATCTTTTTGTTTAACCAATGAAACATCACAGATGCTATCATATATATTCTTCAAAACTGAATTCTTTACTCCTTCACTCAATGTTACCCACAGTCTTGCAGTTGTCATATATACTCCTTGACTTTTAAAAAACTACATTTACCTCATGCCCACATTTCAGTAAGTGATATGTGCAGTACTTCAACTTTAATAGATTATTACATTTATAAGATTCATCTCCTTGCTTCTTGAGATAGAATTTTCTAAAGTGGCTATAGGCATATATCCCTATGTACTTTGACCTTTTTATCACTGGGATTGTTTTTTCTTTTTTTTTCCTTTTTTAATTGATTTTTATTAAGCTCTGCATTTTTCTCTGCTCCCTTCCCTTCCTCTCCCCACCCCTTCAACCCACTCCCAAGGTCCCCATGCTCCCAATTCACTCAGGAGATCTTGTATTTTTCTGCTTCCCATGTAGATTGGATCTATGTATGCCTCTTTTAGAGTTCTCATTGTTGTCTAGGTTCTCTGGTATTGTGATTTGTGGGCTCTATTTCTTTGCTTTATGTTTAAGAACCACTTATGAGTGAGTACATGTGATAATTGTCTTTCTGTGTCTGAGTTACCTCACTCAAAATGCTGGTTTTTAGCTCCATCCATTTTTCTGCAAAATTCAAAATGTCATTATTTTTTTCTGCTGTGTAGTACTCCCTTGTGTAAATGTACCACATTTTCCTTATCCATTCTTTGGTTGAGGGGCATTTAGGTTATTTACAGGTTCTTGCTATGACAAACAATGCTGCTATGAACATAGTTGCACACATGTGCTTGTGGCATGATTGGGCATCCTTTGGATATATACCCAAAAGTAGTATTATTGAGTCTTGAGGAAGGTTGTTTCCTAATTTCCTGAGAAATTGCCACACTGACATCCAAAGGGGCTTGCATTCCCACCAGCAATGCAGGAGTTTTCCCTTTACCTCACAACTTCTCCAGCATAAGTTGTCATTAATGTTTTTGATCTTGGCCATTCTTACAGGTATCACTGGGATTTTTAAGATACATCAGCTTCCACTTTTTGGTTCTATCTGCTGTGTGCAATTGTAAAGAGTTTGAAGAGTTTATCCATGATATAAATGTTGATGGTGATATAAAAAGCATACCTTAGCATTCCCTAGATACTGACAAATTGTTAGCTCCAAAATAACGCATCAATTTACCTGTCCAATCCATGTAGGAGCCTCTGTTCCTGCCCATTTTTTTAGTCAACTAGTATTATTGTGGAATATTAGCTTAAGATGTGTTGCATTTGCTTATGCTGTGGACTATCTGTTTAATGATACAAAGATGTGTTGCATTCTTTTATATTGCATTTGTTTAACTCTGCAAAGTGTGTTACTTTACCTGCCTAAAATACCTGATTGGTCTAATAGAGAGTTGAGTGGCCAATAGCTAAATAGAAGATGGAGAAGTGGGGCTGCCAGGTAGAGAGAATACATAGGAAGAAAAATCTAGGCTCGAGAGAAGAGTGAAGAGCGAGATAAAGCGGAGAGGAGCCAGGGGCAGCCACCCAGCCTCCACGCCAGCCATGGAATAAGAAAGAAAGAAAGAATGTATAGAATTTACAAAAGTAAAAATGCCAGAGGTAAAATGTAGTTAAAGAGAAACAGTATAATGTAAGTTAGAAAAGCAGGCTAGAAACAAGCAAACCTAAGGCCAGGCATTCATAAATAAGAACAAGTCTTTGTGTTGAAGTTGGGCAGCGGGCCCCCAGGTTTCAGATTCAGTGAATATTATTTAATTTTACAGAAGTCAAATGAAAGACATTTTGAAAAATGGCCTTTTGAAAGATTAGTTAAACCATAAATTGATGCTATCTTATTGGCATACACTTGCAACATACATACGTGTTGACCTAGGAACCCTTCTTCAAAGAATTTGTTCAAAGGGGGAAATATTAATTAAGTGCAATTCTGTGTGCAAAAATGGTGGAAAAGGACGTATTAAACAAGATTTGTCTTGTAGTCAAGCTTAGAAGTCGTCACTCTTCCTCCAGTAGTGAGAAGCTAAACTAATTGAAATTAATTATTTTCCTTGAACCCAGCAGACGAGTAATGTTGCAAAGAGAGTTGTCATCCTGAAACTTAGACACAGGTGAATCCTAACAGGTGCAAACAAGCTCTCATCGGGAGCAGAAGCCACTGACCCCATCTCTAGCAGGAACACTGAAACAGTCATGCTGACAAACTTCTGGAGGTCAGATATGGACTAATGAAAAGGGAAAGTCTCTGGCAGCCTCCATTAGGATGACTCCTCAACTTTTATTTCTCCATTTTTTTTTTAAGAACATCCTCCATTGCCAAGGTTTAGATCATCTTTTTCTTTTGGCTGAAAAAACAAAGGCAAAATGCACTTAGCACCTTCCATTTAGCAGGAAGCTGTTCTCCAGGGAGAAGGACCTTGCTAAAGTCTTATAGTGGGAAGGGCATTTTCCTGCACCCCCTACTTTTCTTCACAATTAAGGGAGAAGCAACAAAAGAGAACAGGTAACAGAAAAAGAGCTTCAAAAACTAGGCTGAAGCTGACAAACATAACAGGCAAGGATGCTTCGTTTGTGTTGCTTTGTTTTGTTTCTTAACTTACTCTACCACAAAAGGAACTGTGTAGTCCTACTCCAGGGTCATGTATCTACTGAAAGACTAAAATCTAATCATAAGATTCTAGGACAACCATGTGCAACTATAGCTTTAGCTATAGCCAGGCTTTAAAGATAGTTAAAAGGTGGCAGTTGCCAC